GCATTCTAAGCCATCTTCCTAGAGCTCTCAAGATAGTAACAAACATTAAGTGCTACAATAAATGAAATGTATCAAAATTGTGGATCTGCAGCTACAAGTCTGAAACTATGATGTTGGATGAAACCCAAGTATAGGAGGGCAAATTTCCTTTCTTCTTCTGGCCTTTGGTGATGCTAATGTTTCTTGATGTTCTTTCCTGTGGTGGTTTGAATGAGAATGATGCTCACAGGTTCATATATTTGAATGTTTGGTGAAGGGGAGTAGCACTTGAGAAGGATTAGGAGGCACACCCTTGTTGGATTGGGTGTAGCCTTGTTGGAGAAGTATGTCACTGGGGGTGGGGTTTAAAGTTTCAAGAGCCCAAGCCAGCCCCAGTGTCTTCTTCCTGCTGCCTGCAAATCCTAATGTACAGTGACTCTTTCTCCAACACCATGTCTGCCTGGAAGCTGCCATGCTTCCCACCATGGTGATAATGGAATAAATCTCTGAAACTGTAAGCAAGCTCCAATTAGATGCTTTCCTTTATAAGAGTCACAGTGATCATGGTGTGTCTTTAGAGTAATAGAATACTGACTAAGCACTTGTCTTGTTGATGTTTGACTCCCATCTCTGCCTTCGGCATCATATGGCCATCTGTCTATCAGTGTCTCTTTCTCTCTCCTCATAAAGATTCTAGTCAGTTTGGATTAAAATCTTATCTTACTGTGGTGTGGCCTTATCTGAACTAATTCCATGTGTATCCAGCCTACTTACTTCCATGTAAGAGGACATTCTAAAGTGTAAGTTCTCTGAGATGTGTTGTTGATATCATCTGTAATCTCAGCATAAAGTATATTTTAAAAATAATCAAAAATGTATCTACCCAGAGCATTTCTGAGATTCTGTCTCTGATTGTAAATGTCCCAGCCAAAGGCAGGAATAATAACTACTTTCCAATCTTCTTTGTTGCCTATCTCTCAGGAGAAGAGATTAAATGAGGAAACTAACCAGTTCAACATCAAATGTACCTCTCCATTGCCTCTGTTCAATTCAAGCAGAACAGCAGGAAAAATTTCCAGTACTTTCCTCATGCAGAGGTCTAGAGCAATAGCCATGTCAGCTGTTCATCTTTCTCTTGCTGTTTAAGAGATGAGTCTCTGGAGAAACACTTAGTGTTTAAGGGCTTGTACTGCTTTTTCCAAAGTGAGTGCCCAAGGTTAGTTCCCAGCACTCATATTGCACATAAGAGTCTACAACTCCAGCTTGTGAGTATCTGATGTCTCTGACCTCAGGTGCATCTGCACTCACATGCACACGTGTGCACACAGATGATTAAAACAATAAAATAAACCTTAAAAATAACGAAGAGGCAAAGCTCCTCTCCAGTCTTTTTGGCAGAGAATCTGTGTAAGAAGCAGGTAACACAGGAGACAGAAGAATTCCAACAGCTCCTTGTGGGAAAGAAGACAATGCTACCCTCTTCCTCTAACCCTGCTAGGCTGGTAGGACATCGTTTTCTGGAGGTCTCTTCAGCATGGTCATCATCTCTGTTCATAATGATTGAGAGTCCTCAAGACAGAAGTGAAGGCCTGCCTTTCACTTTTGATTGTCACAGTGTTATAGCTGCTATTGGCTAGATGTCCTCGGTGTCTCTAAACATCCTACAACACAACAAAGGACTATTCAGGAAGCATAAAGAAGGCCCAGATCAGGAAACACCACATTAAAACTTTTAAAAGCCAATGTAGTTTTGCAGATTGCATTAAAAAAAAAAAAGACTCCAATTGTGATGGTTTGTATATGCTCTGCCCAGGGAGTGTCACTGTTAAAAGGTGTGACCCTGTTGGAGTAGGTGTGACCTTGTTGGAATAGGTCTGTTACTGTGGGTGTGGGCTTTAAGATCCTCATCCTAGCTGCCTGGAAGCCAGTATTCTGCTAGCAGCCTTCAGATGAAGATGTAGAACTCTCAGTTCCTCCTGCACCATGCCTGCCTGGATGCTGCCATGTTCCCACCTTGATGATGATGGACTGAACCTCTGAACCTATAAGCCAACCCCAATTAAATGTTGTTATTACAAGAGTTGTACTGGTCATGGTGTCTGTTCACAGTAGTAAAACTCTAAGACATCAATTTAAAAGTGATTATATTAAGTACAGTCTTAGGGGTTTAACCCTTGGTATTTATGATCCTAAGAGTACAATTAAATACTCTCTTTTTAGTGAGCAAGGACGTGCTTTATTCTCTGAATTGTCTGGACATCTATGTTTACTTTATGGATTAGTGAATAGGTCTAGAGATACTGGTGGGACTTAGAAAAAACAAGATTGATCCCCTCAACTGGGTCTTGAGTAAAACATTTTATATAAAGTAGTCTGTTAAGTAGTCTGTTAAGTCTGTTACTACTTGTGAGGGATAGATATGGTGAAATGATTGTGTTTCTTGATAATTATTCTCTCAACTGCCCAATTGTGCTTGTCTTTCAGGTACTTGGTGCAGATTCCTTGTACAACCTATTGTTGCAGTTTGAGGCAATTACATTTATGTTGGAATGCCTTTTACATGATTTAGGTGCCTTTATCTCAAAGCGACTCTCTCTAGTTTCTCACAGAAAATATTCTCTCTTGTTCTCTCTCTCTCTCTCTCTCTCTCTCTCTCTCTCTCTCTCTGTTTCTCTCTCTCCATCTCTCTCTTTCTCTCCCCCTTCCTCCCTTTTCTTCCTCTCCTCTCCTCTCTCCCTCATCCACTTCCTCTCTTTGTCTCTCTCCCTCCTCCTACTTCAATCTCTTTCTCCCTCCTTCCTCTCCCTCTCTTCCTGTCTGCTTCCTTCCCTCCCCTTCCTCTTCCTTCTCCTCCTCTCCTTTCCTCCTTCCCTCCCTCTCCCATCCTTCCCTCTCTTGTTTCTCTTTCCTTTCCTCACTCCCCTCCCTCTCTTTTCCTTCCTCTCTCCCCTCCCTCTCCTCCTCTTCCCTGCCCCTCTTCCCTTGTCCTCTTCCTCCTTCCACCCACTCCCTTTCCTCCCTTTCTGGTCTGCTGAAATGTAAGCAAGCACCCTCCAGCTTCTCCTGATGCAGCCGTATACACACCTACTGGCATAGTGGCATCCCCCACTATGCACCCTCATACCTATACCTTGAGACAAAATTGAGCTCTTCTCCCCTAAGTTGCTTCATGTCTGATATCTGACTACAATGACAATAAAAACTAACAAATGCAGGGGTCACACAACTTACATGACCACTTTGCCATCCTTCAAGATTCACATGAGGTAAAACACATTTCCTCCTCAGGGTCTAACTTGAGAGGTCTTCATCGGTGAACTCAGACCTCCTGGCCATGCACCTTCATTAATTCATGAAGGATTTGTTTTTCTTGCCTTTTCAGTAGATTGTGAACCCCTTGAAAGGGAAGGGAGAATTGTGTCCTTCATTTATAGCCTTGGAATCTAGCCAAATCCCTAGCGCAAAGAATGAATGTCCAAGTCTTATGATCAGCTAAGAGAGAGAGAGAGAGAGAGAGAGAGAGAGAGAGAGAGAGAGAGAGAGAGAAGTTTAAGGGACAGTAGTTTAAAATTTTAGCAACCAGAAATGAGCCAGATGAAAGCGGGTGGTTTAAAATGAAAAGAAACTACTTTTAGCTTATTTTTAACAGCTGGGAGTCAACTGTTGTGACCTGGTATTTAATTCCTAGGATTAAGAAGACCAGAAAAACTAAATAGAGCCGGGCAGTGGTGGCGCACGCCTTTAATCCCAGCACTTGGGAGGCAGAGGCAGGCGGATTTCTGAGTTTGAGGCCAGCCTGGTCTACAGAGTGAGTTCCAGGACAGCCAGGGCTACACAGAGAAACCCTGTCTCAAAAAAAAAAAAAGAAAAGAAAAGAAAAACTAAATAAACTCTAAAAGTGATTTAGTCATCCGGTGCCACTTGCCTGGTCACTTTCACTAAAAGTCATTATAGGGTAAATGTCATGAAATCTGACTATCTTGCAAAACTGAGAAAAACAGATGAACCAAACAATCCCAAACCACTGACATGTTTGTGTACACGCCACAAAACCACCAGTATTCTTTCTTTCAAGGGAAAGGACAACCCATTCATATTTTTAGCCTGTAACTTTGAGAGTAACTTGGATATGGTGAAGATAGGACTATTGATTGATTATTTACTCTCTTTCCTGAGCTGTAAATCTGCTTGAGGGTCTTTGGCAGAAATTACAGGATATTTAATATAATAACCACCTTCAATCTCACCAGACTCTCTCATCTATTTTATAGAAAAAAGAGAATGACACCCTTTCAAGCAAAAATGCAAACTATGTAACACCAAGCATAAAAAAAATGCTAGACCATGTTTCCTGAAGTTTCCTGAAGTTTGTGAGATGCTGAGGAAAGGAAGGAAGCATAGTAAGTGGAGACTGAGGGAGGTGACATGTGAGCACCCATTTATGCTAACTGTTGGCTTTACAGTTACACCGCAGGCAAGCCTTGACATCGGACAGAAGTTTTAGTCTTCTCTGAAAAGTACTCCCACGCCAACCAGTGGCACAGCCCACAGGCTTTGGATAATATTGCAGCCCCTACTCCCATGCCAACACTGCCTAGCTTCGGTTCAGACTTTCGTCTGAGGGTGGTTCTATGCCTAAGTGCAATAGAGTGTGATGAACTTTAGAGAGGAAGTATACACCTTTTTGTGTTTTGGTCCGAGTTTCAACTATACGCTCAATGTTAAATGAACCAATTACATTAAGTAAGGGTTCTTTAAACGGGCATATAAAACAAAGTTATGTAATGATCAGTTGACAAAAATATGGTACTGGGGCGCCCAGAAACCTAACACTACTGTCTCCACCAGGACCAATGGCTCAGTGTTGTACCCCTACGATTCCTATCTCCTTCCTGCCAAAGCATTTGTCTTGCCGGCTTCTGTGCCACGTCGGTTGTCTGGGCGTATGTTTGCCGGAGGGGAAGCCGCCCGCTGGGTGCTCAGAGCGGCCGGCAGGTGGCGCCCGACCTGGCTTTCTCGGCTGCGCGGTGCCGACCAGGTGGACTGAAAGGGGCGGAGGTAACCAGCTGCGGCCAGTGGTGGCCGTGCGCAGTCCCCCGCCCCCTCCACGCAACGCTCGCGACACGCGCGCCTGGAGAGGGCACGGGCGGCGGGGCTATCTGTCTTCCGAGCTCGGGCACCACTACCATCTGCTGCTCTGCGAGGAGTCTGCGTGTTCCCCGCTGCGCTCAGCTCCACGCCGGACACTATGGAGGCGCAAGCACAAGGTGGGTGGTCGCCGGTCGTCCCATCCCCACCCCCTCAGGTCTGTTCCTCAGTTGCACAGAGGGACTCTCTTCCTTCAGTTCCTAACTTTACCCCCGGACAAACAAGGACATCCTACGCGGACGGAACTCCGCGCCTACGCGCGCCTTCGGGATCACTCTTGCATCCTTTTGCCTAACTCAGATTTTGCGGTGGGGCTGGGGACCAGGGAAGGGCTGGGGACCCGAAAACTGGGGTACCCGGTCCGCAAGGATTGTGTCCTTGTCTGCACTATCCCTTCCAGCAGTCAGTGGGCCACACTTCCTCGTCCTGGAAGGTGCTCAAAGGACCTGTTGTGCAGGCTCCGGATCCCAGCGCTGTTCTCCCCGGGAGACGGGGAGGGGAGAGAGCGGGGTCTTCGGGACTCCAGCTTTAGGACTCACGTCCTGCTGTTCTCAAGTGCGAGCCGGGGTGAAGCGGACTCGAGAGGTGGTGGTTTTGTGGAGACTCAGTGTCCCTGCTATACAAGGGCTGCAGCGGAGGAGGATTGGCCTTCAAAGGCAAGAGAGCTTCACAACCCCTGCCCCCTCCCTCCGCCCTCCAGATGGATAACTCTGTCCTGGTTTTCTGTGTTCAAGGGAAGAGTCGCTCCCCCACTCACCCCATCTCACCCCCTAGCGCGGTTGAATTGAGGGCTGGCCACCTGCTCTCTGTGCTCAGGGTGTCCGCTGGAGACCAGAGAACTCTAGGATCCTTCAAGAGTAAGAGTAAAGGGATCTTAGAAAGGATCAGAGGTGGTCTTATGTGGAGCGAGGGACAGGGAGAACGAAAGGGCTTGGAGATCCACTTTGTAAGCAACACTCAGAAGGAACGGGTTGTGTTAATGCCATCAGGACCACCTTCTTCCCATAGAAGAATTCTGTGGTGCCTTTTAAAATACATAAAGCTTTTTTTTTTTTTAAAAAGAGTAAAGACCTCATGTGTTCTAGGGGCAAAAGCAGCTGGAATGAGGGCAGTTTTGGCAGTGTGTAGGGCTAGAGTCACTCAGTTGGTTTGCTGCCAGGATCACAATAGACTGAACAATGTGAACCATATTCCTCTTTGGTCGTATCAGCCAGGGTCCAGCCCAGAAGTTGCAGCTTCCAGACACCCCCCCCCCCCGTTATCTTAATAGGAAAGGAGAGTGCAATTAAAGTCAGTTCCAGACCCTGGAGTTGGGCTCAGTCCCCCAAACCCAAAAGTGTGAACAAGTCCAGATGTGTGGGCAGTGTGGGAGTCAGTGGATACAGGGTTACTCGGGGAAAGCATCAGGAAGGAGTAAGAGGGATTCTGCCGAAACCCTTCTGGACTAACAAGATTCTTCATTGAGGCAAACCACATGATCAGACGTGGGTTGGGAGAGGGAGGGCGTCTGTGGAGGATGAGGAAAATGTCCAGATACTGAAAATGATCTGGGGCTGAGGAGTGTGTGTGGCTCTGATAGAGCAGAGTTCTTTGAGAAAACTTGCATGTAACAAAATGTTAGAGACGGGCCTTGGGGAAGGTGCCTGCTGATTTTCAGCAAGCAGAGTCTTGGTTGCTGGTCAGATGCAAAAGCAGAGTTCCAGTGGATGTCTTTGTGTCTGAACTGAAGCAGATACTGACAATACCGGAGCTTTCTGGCCTGACTTTCAGACTAGAAGGCAATCATTTCTAAGTATTGATAAAGAATTGACACCGGGACCCTCATAAAGACACCAAAATCTTTGTTGGAGAGATAGGTCAGTGCTTAAGAGCTCTTGCAAAGGACCTAAGTTTGGTTGTCTACACAACTGCCAGTAACTCCAGTTCTAGGAAACCAGATGCCCTCTTCTGGTCTCTGTGGGTAACACACACACACACACACACACACACACACACACACCACTTACACTTGAAAAAATATATTAAAAACCCGAGGATCTCAAGTGTGTTGTATATCTGTCTAGGACCTCTTGTTCATCTCTTGTACACTTTCAGTAGTCTTCAGATCATTTGTTAAACGGTCATGAAAATAATTGTATTGTGTTTTAAAAGAAAATAATGACAATTGAGAAAAGTCTGTACACATTCAGATAGTTTTTTTCAAGTATTATTTATCTGTACATAATTATGTCCAAGTTTGAAGATCCCAGGGATATGGGGTCATGTGGACTGGGCTGACCCCATAGCAGTCATTTTGGAATCCCTCGGGCCTGCACATGAGAATACTTGAAAGCTATCCAAGTAATTCTATTATTCACTGAGCTAGGAAAAGAATTATAATAGTTAAAGAACACCCACCTGAATTCTGAAGGTTCCTGAAGCTGTAGACTAAGACCTACCCATGTTACTAGCTTGCTTCATTTGTGAGCAAATATTTGAGTGCTTTCTTCTTCCAGACAGAGCATCAGAAACAGCAAAACCAGACTTGATTTCTACTTTATGAAACTCACAGCAGAGGATGAGATGGATATTAATTTGGCACTTACTTCACAAACTAAGATGTAAAATCACTATATGTTACTGACAGGAGAGTGGGCCACATACTACAATGAGAGAGTCATAGACGTCAGGACCAGTTATCAATAGTCAAAGTAGCTTAATCTGCTTATTTTCTCTCTGTCTCTATTCTCAGTGCTTTATATGTATCGATAGACACCATGGTAGGGCCCCAGGAGGTAGGTCGACCTGTCATTTCCATTTTGCAGAGGAGATGAGACAATAGCTAGATTCCTTGTTTATGGATAAATAGACAATGAGTAGCAAAGTTGGTATTGTGAGTGCCCATCCCACTCAGACCCTGGAAAGATAAAATTCAAGTCTTAACTGCCTCTCCAACTACCTGACAACACTCTCCCCTCAGCCTCACAGCTGGATAGAACAGGATTGAACCCTAAGTGGGCATTTGCTCTTAGATTCTAAAATAGCCCTGTGAGGTCCAAGGTGTAAGCTACTACCATTGTTTTACTTTACAGTTTTCTGACTGGAGATGGTTCTCTCTCCTTCTCTCTTTCTGCCTCTAAATCTAAAGGAAAGCACATGTGTAAGAGATTAGGCCTGCACTGGTGACTAGAGGCCCCTTGTTGCACAAAGGGGCTATAGATATGGGCTATCCAAGTAGCTCAGAAATGCAGAAGCAGGTCTTTGAAAAACCTCCTGGAAGTGAAATTCTCCAAACATAGTCATTAGCTTTATGAAAATATTAAATTACTTCCAGCAAAAGAAGAAGACACCCTAAGGAGTTTGGCAGGATGGGCACTGGGGCATTGTGAGTGGGTGATTTTGTGAGAAGGGGCTCTTGAGCAGCACGGAGTGGGCAACCCACAGGAAGTTAGCACTTCTAGCTGCTTTTCACTGGCCTGGAGAAGTTGGCCTTCACATGTTCCTGGTGAAGGGGTTTCAACTTTACAATGGTGTAAAGAGATGGGCACGCAGTACTGTATCAGAATTTTAATTTTTATCTCAGTCTTGTGATTCTGTACAATATTTATCATTGTTTTGTTATAAATTACCTCCCTGTAGTCTTGTGTGTAGAATGCTTGATTTTTCTATGATATTTGCAATCATTTGAGAGGTGGTTCAGTCATGAGGACTGGACTTTAATCAAAGTGTCAATCTGTTGATGGTTTCATAATTGGATGACAGTACTTGGTGGGAAGTGGGACCCGGATAAGGACATGGGTCCCTGAGACTTTTCCATTGAACGGGATCCTGCTCTACTTCCTGCTTGCAATGAAGGAAGCAACTGTGTCCTACAGGAGCTCTAACTGATGAGCATTCTGCCCATTACAGTACAACAGCAACAGAGCAAGCTGGCCATGGACCAATGTTACAGAGACCATGAACCTGAATAATATTTTCATGGAACAAGTTCTTTCCTCAAGTATTTTGTCATAGCAAGGAGCGCTAACTGGCCCCATGGCATTCTGATGCTAGATGATAGCAGCCAGCGACAGTTTCTAGTCAACCACTTGGTGATATATGAAACAGCTGAGCAATGAGCTAGTTACAGTGACCAATGGTGCTAAGCTCTGATGTTCTATAGTTTGAACTGCTTCAGACTCTGCTCATGCTATGGCATTTTCAATTTATGATGTATCTATTGGGGCATAACTTCTTACTTAAGTTGAGAGACACCTGCAGTAAGTGAATTTGGTTAGGAATGTAGCATGCTCCTGAAACGTGCAGCGGCCATTTAAAAATGAAAGCTCCTGATCCCTTTCAAGTGTTTCTTGATGTCTTATTTTGAAGAACTCCCCTTGCCTCAGCAGTTCCCCCTCGCTCTGCTCTTGTGCACACAGAAGCCCCCCTGCTCCTTCCTGCAGCTTGACTCTCCCAAAAGGACACAGCATAGCAACTCCCTAAGTGTGAACCCCACTTCCTGGGAACAGTATTATCAGCCTGAGAACAGATAAGCAGATGCAGCTTTCAGCCTCCATGCCCCTGAAGCTGGCACCCTCTCTGATGGATGGTCAAACACTCCCCAACACAGGTGGCTTATGGACTTGGGAAAATCAAAAACCACACATCCTTAGAGAGAAATAAAGCCAATTAAGCATTCCCAGGCAGCTGTGATCGGTTTGTAAAAACACTTAACCCTGATAACACCATAAAAGCCAAAAGAACACCCACCCCAATCATGCGACCCTGCTCACTGACCCTGTCTACCATCCAAACAGGTGAAATTATAGTTTTCCTTATCCACCATGTAACCCTGAAGTCCTGGAACCTGCTTGTATAAAGTCCCTAAACTCCTAGACATGGCATTGCAACTTTGCTCCATGCAGTTTGCAGTCCAAACCTGGGTTTGAATTAAAGGCTCTTTGTTTCTCTACATGGGATATGGCATGGATGACATGAAATAATACATTATTTCTACCCGTTTGCAAATCCTATTATGATGACAGTGTCTTATTGACTTACATTATACTTTGCTCAAGACTCTTGGGCTGGAGAGATGGCTCAGAAGTTAAGAGCACTGGCTGTTCTTGCAGAACAGTTCAATTCCCAGCAACCACATGGT